TCGAAGTTTGGGTACCGAGTCCAGATGACTCATAACTTTTGTGGTTTATTTCTGTCCGTCGAAAAATACTGCGATATACGTAATAAGATTAGATTTCCTACAACCTTTCGAAATGCGAGCTCGTACTCAGTTTACATTTCGACGCTCTATTAAACAAGCAGTTGAAAAGTGTCGTTAAACAGGCTAAATATACGAAATAGCTACAAGATAGTCTGCATTTAGTGTAGGATCGTTAATTAAAATTTGTTCATGCGGATTCATTAATTCATTTATTGCCATGAAATCCTCTCGGGCTATCAACCGTGTAAATGCTGAATTAGAAACGAGCGGAAGATGGCTGTCTTCTGGGTTGTTACGCCGTATAGTCTGGTAGCAATTTACCGACTTTTCAGAGGCTCTTGCTGCCTCCATCATTAGGGCGCCCTGATAAAGGAAGCTGCAAGGGCATGTGAAACGTTTATAAACTTCTACCAGACTACACGGCCCAACAACCCTGAAGACAGCTATCTTCATACTCACCGCCGTGAAAACCTTAACTCCTGTATAGAAACCAACGGCTTGTACCGTAATGAGTGATGGCTGTTTAATTGTATTTTAAATGGTACCGTCTGTGTATATATATGCGTCCTAAAAATGTAATTAAGGAGCCAAGTCCTCAGTGACCAGTTTATCTCACTTATCACACGCTCCTGACTTTCGAGATAGTTTTGCGTGTGTTTCAGAAGTTATTCCGTATCAAGGCATCAGATCGCTCAACAAGATTTTAATCGTATTTTATGATCGTTAATTTTGGTACTTTTATGCTTCAGCATGATTATAATTTACATGTAAAATAACTCTTCGTTGTGTCAGCAATGAAGTACGCTTTCCAGTAACCTCTGCTCATAAGTTCTTTTAACTAGTGTCAAGAGATAGCGGGAACATCGCTGTTAAACAAACTGCCGGGAAAAATGTATTTGATCTTATTCCTTTGGGACACATCGCAGTGGCCAATACAGAGTCTTGTAGTTCTCAGCTAACTGCCGTGTGATAATGCAGTCCATGTCCCCCCCACTCCCCTTTGGAGTCAACTCGACCGAAATACTTCGTATGAAAATGATTCTGAGTGGCACTTAAGAAAGAGGACTCTTACAGCTCGTTAGAATGGAACACGGTACCAGGATAAATAATAGAACGATGGGACAGTGTTTGCCGTTATCTTCAGCTTGACAAATTGGCGACAAGGGACACACACACACACACACGCACAAGGGAAAGAAAGAGACGATAAAATAAGAAGTGGAACAGACAGTAGGCTAAGTCTCCTGATCAAGCTCCCCGGTCGTGTGTTCTCAACTACGAGAACGTCTCATAACTTAGTCGGATGACAGTAGCAATTTTTATAAAAATAAGAGGAAATAATGTTGATTCCTTGCGATGTTTTTTGCAAAGTGCCGTGCAGTAAAGGTTATGAAGCCTTTTTAAAGATTTAAACCGAGAACCGTCATGTCTGTAACCGCTGACTCCATGGTTCGCGGATGTCCTCCAGTAAAGAACAGTTATTTGTGACTAAAGTGTTTAGTTTTTTAATTGTCTCGTGTTTTCTACTTATTCCACCATATTATTATAATTTATTCAACCACCGTAACAATTTGAAGTGAAGAATACACATGAAATTTATTTCGTAATCGGTTTAATATTCCTATTACTTACTTTTTAACAAGTTAAAATATTCACCTCAACATTTTCTAGAGACACGTAATTTTAGACTTATGTGAACCAGAACGTGAAATAGCAACTTTATCCTTGTCCATGTTTGATACACTTCTTGAAATTAAGTCACGCTCTTGTTTGCATATGCAATCACCTTTTTTAAACGATTTTTCGGTTAATTTCACCCAAAAAATAACATCGAATCAATGTTAATACTAAACTTATACGTCACCCAAAAAATAACATCGAATCAATGCTAATACTAAACTCATACGTAGCAACCACAGTCAGAACCAGATGGAGTGAAGTGCAATACGAACAGTTTATTTCTGTTTTGCTGTTAAAGTGTATTTGTTGGTACCGTCGTAAATAGTAATTATTCACAAATAATATTTAATTGATTAAATATACCAACTTCTGTGATTTGTGTAAAATAATCTACTCTCTGACTTCTTGCTTGTCCCTGTATTACCGAACATTAATTTCGGTCCAGATTTAATAAAGCCGAAACTAGAAGAATTTATAATTTATAGGGGCTGCAGCCACACAGTTTTTATAAGGGGTAGATTCTTTGTATTCTTCGTAATCTCAAAAAAATGTGTACGAATCCAAGCCAAAATAAAATATTCACTCATATTTTATATCTGGTACATAATTTAATTGATTAATATTATTCATATAATCGTAGTGTATTCATACGCATTGCTTGTGACGTAAATGCTACTTTTTTCTTCAATTCAGCAGTTTCAAATAATGCCTAGAGGATAATGTTAAACTTTATCTGTGGTGGTCACGTAATGCTCCTTTTTCATATAGAAATGAAGGGGAGTGTGTTCTGCAGTAACCGAAATGCCACCACGGGTTTTATAAAAAGAGATAGGGCTTCACGCATCGTTTTTTAACGATGCTATTCCAACCACCCCTCTCCTCCTCACCCTTGTCTCTACCCTTCAGCACTTGCATTCCGCTCGTCGTAGCAGCCGATTATTAATACCACGAAAAGTCCTCAACCTACACCACGCGCCAGACGTTATCACATCCACAGCTAACTGGGCATGAGGAACAGTGAACGGTCGGACGGGTTGTCTGGCTGGCTGACTGTGTGGCTGAAAGGCTGACTGCATGAATACCTGACTTAATCCATACTGACTGTGTACTTAACAGATTGACTGTTTGACTGCCAGCCTGCCTTATTCGCTTCCCGACAGAAGCAACTCGCTGACTGGCTGATTTGTTCGCTAACAGACTAGATGACTACCTGGTTGATAGATGAAGTCACTGAGTGGCTATTTGACTTTAAGAGTTTGCACCCGTGACTTGCCCCGCATTTCAGTGCTTGACCTTAGGAATCTCCGAATGTCTTATTTTGTAGATTGATTTTAGATTATTAATGACTAGTTTTGGATTTCAGAGGTTGTCTAGTGCAGGACATAAATAGTAGACGTTTGAGTTACTGAATATCATGTTAGTTAAGTAATGAATTATTGCGCGCCTGCATTGATTCGATGTCTTATCGACTGTTAAGTTACCTAAATTCTAGACTGAAGTTTGACAGTAGTTGCGTGTCACAGTTTAAGGTTGGGTGGTGTATTACAATAACATTTAACTTATCCCACACGTTGAATACGATACCCAGGGTCTTTCATTTCTATCAATAAATGAAAACATTCTACTTTATACAAAGTTGTATTTTGTTCTTATTCTGCAGGGAAACGAAAGTTGTGATTGTGCGCGCGTGCTTCTTACCATTCAGTCATTTTGATTTAATTATTATTTTATGATTCGAGGTTTTCACAGCGGTGAGTATGAAGATTTCTGTCTTCTGGGTTGTTGATGAATCATCGCCCTGATGACGGAGGTAGTATGACCTCTGAAACGTTGGTAAACATCTATCAGACTACACAGCGCAACAACCCAGAAGACAGAAATCTTGATATTCATCGCCCTGATGACGGAGGCAGTATGACCTCTGAAACGTTGGTAAACATCTATCAGACTACACAGCGCAACAACCCAGAAGACAGAAATCTTGATATTCATCGCCCTGATGACGGAGGCAGTATGACCTCTGAAACGTTGGTAAACATCTATCAGACTACACAGCGCAACAACCCAGAAGACAGCAATCTTCAGAATCACAGCTGTGAAAACCTCAAATCTTACACATTTTATTAGGAAATTGTGCAGCATTTATAAGAGTTTATCATCAAGCAATAAATATGGGAGTTTAATTACAGCAATTAACATCACAGTACGACTCATAAACGTCAGGGTTGCATTCGCCCGTGTTAGGTCTGTGGAAGATAGTACACCGCAAGCCAGTAGCTGCCGTCATTACTGATGCAGCAAGCTTTACACATCTTCAGTTTCCTTCGTCGTGTTGTTCTTGGGTTGAATGTAATTACTAAAACAGGACGTAGGTTTTCGGTCTGCTCTACAGTAGAAAGTCTACACTGACATAATCCACATCTTGTAACAGGTATGGCAAGGGGAAGGGAGGTATTTTGTTCAGCATCACGACGTGATTATGGGCGGCAGTTTAATTCTGCGCCAATAAACTGAAGGTATTAAAATATTGATCCCTGTAGTATCTGACAATTTCACGGTATGTTCCACTCGCGCTCGGATTTCTGGACAAAATTGTATCCAAATATGTAGAACTCTTGCAGATCTCAAATTTACCTCAGAGACGTCGGTAAACGTCAACCAGACTGCACGGCGTTTCAACCCAGAAGACAGCCATTTTCGGTCTCACCGTCGTGAGAACCTGAAATCTACTGTATAAAATATTTATGAAAGTAAAACCTCTTTAAGTCCGTGTCTCATTAATCCCGAGAGTCCTAGCTCTGTTTGGTTGTTGAGTTGTTTTTTGATATCCGTGGTTCAAGGCTGATGAAGTAGATCTATCTGTCAGAATGCAAGGAATAGGCTTAATTAGCCATGGATGTTTCTGTTTGTGAAAGATCACTATGATTCTGGAGATAACCCGCACAAAAACTTTCAGAGGTCACACGTAACTTAATCCCGGACACGGAGATAGGGATTAGCTCTATCTAGTGGACCCAACTGAGTAGGCACCTGAAGACGGAGATAGAGCCCCATCTCCGAAACGTCGTTTTATATTTTATTTTACTAGACGATGGATAATATCCAAGAAAATTTTTATTAAAGTGACTCATCACCATCGTCAAGAACTTTTAGATTTGATATTACCTCCATCTTTAGGGCTCATGATCAACATGAAAGTCTTGGCTGTCGAGAGAACCTCAAAGATTATTGATTTTATTTTGTGCGTTTTTCTATTCCAGATGTCCCGGATCCTCCTGGAAGGCCCCTCATAATGGGTTTCACGTCCCGCTATGTGAATTTATCGTGGGCACCGTCTCAGGACACACATAACAGCCCCATCTCTCACTACGTCATCCATGTAAGGTAAGTGCAATTGTTTCATTATGATCACTCTCAAAACGTTTTTCGTCTTATGTTTCTAGTATTATAATATAACTTAATATTCTGGGGTTAGAAAGAACGGTTACATTTTTATATCAGAAGCTACAAATTAATTTTAGAGACATGATTATATCAGTTTGACAAAAATTTAAATATTTATGTCACTTTTAATTTCATGTTTAATTAATTACGCTTTTTGGAATTAGTTTTATAACATTTGTCCTGACTGTCTTCGATAACATGGATTTAAATGTCATTATTAATTCATTTGGGAAAACATTATTTTTATACTCTATTGGAAGGCTTGTCTATGCAAGTGCGAAATTTAATTTAATTCGCCAGGTGACCGCTATGCGACGCCACGACATTAAAGTAATAGAAAATCTATGTGTGGTGTCACATCCGTTCGTTTTTTTTAGAACCTGCTTTTAATGATAAGAATATTACAGAGTTTATTTTTTATAACACTGCAACTTTTATGTGTCATTTACGAGCTTATATTTCAAAGAGATTTTTTTTACAAAATTATCTCCCCAAGCATTTAAACTGTCAACGTATGTTTGGCTGCGAAGCCGAATCTGCGCAAAACGAGTCGCAAAACCCTATTAATGCATGTAACACTGCGGGCTTGCGTTTGTGTTCATTTGTGCTAGTGTTTAAAACCTAATGGTATAATTAAAATGTATAGAATCTGTAAACTGCAGCATTATACATATTTTATGTAACATACGAGGATACTTTCCCAGTTAGTCATAGAAGTAGGTTCCTGGTGTTAGATTAATTTGCAT